TTTCTCACTCCATTTGGTGCTTGGCTGAGTTCTTTATCTCTTCATTTGATGTTTTAGGGTTTCAGGATTGTTGTATTCTCTGTTCGGCTTAGTTTTTCGGATCTTTGCTGTGGAGGAACAGCGTGGTGCCTCTGCCTAGAGCGCCATTTTGCTGGAACTCCACCAAGACAGCTTTTAAAACCTTTTACATTTCACAGCTCAAGTATGCATACTATACAGATAATCCATTCTTTTTCTGTAAGCCTAAGCTCACTTGATGCATATTTGACAAGTCTTATGACAAATAGGTGCAGATGAAGCTGATTTTCCTCTCCAATGTCCAGGAAGGTCATTTACCCAAAATTAAACATGTTTTTGTCCTTCCAATCCATTCAAATAGACCATGTCTGGTTCACCTGCCTCCTCTGGGGGTTTTATCCAGAGAAACCAAAGCTGTTCTTTATATTCTGAAATAGCCTAGACAGTGCTCAAACCCAGGTTTTCCCAGAAACTCAGATCAATTTTCAGAGAATTTTACTTTGAATGAACTTCTGATGGGCTAAGGATAAACACATTTTCTTTCTGAAGATGAAAGCAAAAGTTTTAAAATACCGTGAGTTTTCAAGATCAGAAGCTGAAAACATTCAGAACTTCAGAAGTTGTCCAAACCTCAATTTTTTTTTTTTAGGTTCCAAGCTCCAGCTCGACAGATTTAAGCAAAACGATATGCTGTGATGTCCTCTTAGGTCTGCTCTAGTCAGACATGGGGTAAAAAAGTGATGTCTGATCGGATTTTACTTCTAAGCACTGATATAAATACAACCTGAGACATTTTGATACTGCAAAGATAGGGATTTTGGGGGGAGGCCTCATTCTGATTTACTGAAGACAAGCTTATTCTAATGTAGAATCTTCCTGAAATTCCTATTCATTGTCCTTAGACTTTCTTTCTGAGTTCTTAAAAAATATATATTACTGAGTATTTCCAGTTTTACAACCATATTACATAATATCTCCAATTTTATGTGTGAAGAATTAAAAGTGAAAATGCTGAATTAGAGGAGGAAAAAAAAACTTATTTTCTTCATTTCCAATTCCTAGCTTTAATGTCAAGCCAACTTCTATACACTACTAGAGTGAGACATAGAGAAAAACATTTGTCAAGAAGGGGTATTTACCATAGCCTAATCAGCCAGGACATTACACATCTAATTCTTTCGCAGGAGAAAGAAAATCAATCATGACATTTACTCTGCAGACAGGGTTTTTCTCACATAGTGTTCCAAACTATAGCAGCATGTAACGCTAACTTCTTCCTAGGTGTTCAAACAAGCCCCATAATTGAAATCCACACCCTCCAACAAGAGGTAACCATTCCCAGCAGTTTTCAGCATCATGGAGTGAACAGAAGGTGGTTTTACCTTTTTCCCTGAAGTTGAGTTGGCCATATTTCCCAAATAGGCTTCCCTTAAACCCTGGGATCCTTTCAGAGGAATCACACTGAACATAAAACTACTTCCCATTCCATTTTCCTCACATTTTTCTCCCCTTTCTATTTCCCTCATTACTTTTGTAGTAATGCCAGCTGTGCAAATGTTAGAAAGTTAAGAGAAGATGCAATAAGCAAGAAAAACAAACTATCCATAATCTCACCTCCCAGTAACAACTCTTGTTCCCATTTTGGCAAATTTCCTTCCAAACCTTTTCTTATATGCTTGCTATGCTATTAGTTGGCGTTATGCTGTATGTATCTGCTTTTGTTTCTCCACATATCATGAACAATTGTCCTTAAAAATTGCATCTACTTTAGGTTAAAAGAGGGAATGTAGCCATAAAATTGAACTACGAAAAGAAGACACTCATTAGAGGGTAGAAGCAGGATTAGAGAAAGCTCTGGCCTACCATTAAAAATAGTGGAAGAAACTGTCTGATGCCTTTAATGGCAATTCAAAGGAATAGTTTTTAATTTTTCTTTAATAACTTTTTATGTTTTATATGCTTCAATAAATATATACCTGCAACAGGTTTCCATTTAATCAAAACTTGCTCTAATATTAGGAGCCCTGGTGACGCAGTGGTTGAGCACTCAGCTGTGAACTGAAAGGTTGGCGGTTCAAATCTACCAGCTGCTCCATGGGAGAAAGATGGGGCAGTCTGCTTCCATAAAGATTTACAGCCTTGGAAACTGTATAGGGCAGTTCTACTTTGTCCTACAGGGTTGCTATGACTCAGAATTGACTTGATGGCAGTGGGGGTTTGGTTTGGGTTACTCTTATTTTTCAAGGTTTAATAAATATCATCATTAAGTATTAGAATTCACACATTCTCTCTCTTAGTTAAATCCCTTGCATATACAAATCTTAATTCTTACACAGAGATCAACAATTCAGGAAAAAAATTTAAGGATCTCAATTTTTCTACATTAACGAAAAAGAAAAATATAGTCTGTAAATGGTTCCGTAAACCTGGACCAACCAGTATAGCATTTATTCATTTTATCTATTTCACAGAAATTTACTGAGTATTTACTATGTTCCCAACAATATTAGTGGCAAATATAAACTACCCCCTCCATCCAAAATAAAAAGGGATGAGATGTTTACGTGCACCATGTGATATATATATATATATATATATAAGCATTTGTATTCAGAAATAAACATAACATCAGATCAACTGGCTAATGGCTGAGTCATCTGCAGCTAATTTGCGATTCCTATTAAGTTGACCTCCATGGCAGCATGCCCTAGGCTACTTCATTAACCCTTTGTAAAGACCAAGACCCAATGGCTGCTAGTTATTCTGCTGCTAAGAAAAATAATAATGAAGTATTCTAAAGTCAAGTAAAATTCTTAAATTACTGATATTTTGAATTATTCTTTCTGCTTCCTGAAATTAGTATAAGTAATTTAACAAAACTTACAGATATATATACAAGGGCATATAAAAATGTGTGATATTTAAAATAACCATGTTGTTGATGTATGCTATCAAGTTGATTCCAATTCGCAGCAACCCTATAGGACAGAGCAGAACTGCCCCATAGGGTTTCCTAGGCTGTAATCTTTACAGAAGCAGATTACCAGGTCTTTTCTCCTGCGGAGTCACTGGGTTGGTTCGAACCGCTGACCTTTCGGTTAGCAGCCAAGTGCTTAAACACTGCGCCACCAGGGCGCCTTAAAATAACCATATATAACTTATATAACATACATGCATAAAGCATGTGTGTGTATATATATATTTACATATATACGATGTACATATTTATGTATGTGCACACATATATACACGCACACACATTTACTTATTTCAAAATATGTGAACATTCTCTAATGGGAATTTTCTAAGGCAATATATTTTCACAGTTTGAGCTGCCCCAAACCCCTTGCCACTGAGCCACTTCTGACTCAGAGCAACTCTACAGGACAAAGTAGAACTGCTCCAGAGGGTTTCCAAGTCTGTGAATCTTCATGAAAGCAGACTGCCACATCTTTCTACCAGGGAGCAGCTTACAGGTTTGAACTGCTGACCTTTCAGTTAGCAGCCAAGTGCTTAACCACTGGGCCATCAGAGCTACACAGCATAAATATATAAATCAGAACCAAACATTTGAAAATAACTTTCAGAAATAATATGTAGATTTCTGCATACTGAAGCTTATATTTCACGCTTAGTTACTTACGTTCCATAAAATACGGCCCAGGCTCAATTCTCCATACAATTTGTCCTTTTTGTGTTCCAGTCACACCCCTGTTTTTAGAATCCCAGAAGTTGGCTGGAGAATTCTCATCTGGAAAATCCAAAGAAACACTTCTTAGCTTAATTATAACCCGGTATTCATTCATTCATTTTAGAACTTGAATCAGTCTTTCCTTAGCTCAAAAATTAGTACAAGTTCTAAAATAAATGGAAAACAGATAAAGGGGAAAATATTAATAAATACTTTTCTCAATGACTGCTTTCCAGTAGATTATTACTATGGATTTCTATGCCTGTCTTTATATGGGAGAATTAGAGAGGGAGGGTGAAAAGAAGATGGCATCTCTGGACTTGGCCAGGTGGGTCAATGATGCCAGACAGAACAGCAAAGAACAACCGGGACTACTGCTACAGCTGCAGCATAAAGCTCATTCATAAGAAAGGGGCTGGGGTGAGCTCCCATCTATAAAAGCCTTTATAAAAAGGAAAGGAAGAATAATGCTGGAAGAATAGGACAGTGCTCAAGATGATATGAATAAAAGGGATATTCGGCTATGTAACTGAGTCAACACAGAGCACAGCATGAACAGTGTTCGGGAGATACAACCAAGTCATCATGTCTGCTAGGACAGTCTTTTATATAAGGCCAAAGACAGCAAACCTCAAGCCAAGATGAGAAAAGGAAAGAGGGAGCATTTACGCTGTTGTGTGGAAAAATAGAAAGGGCAGTGATGCAAAGAATAGGCCTGAAAGCAGTATTTCCCAAGCTTTCTGACCTCATGGCCCACAGACGATGGTTAACACTTGTAGGGCACATGGGGGTACTTGAAAGACATGCCTACAATTAAAGAAAAGGGCTATACTAGAGATGTGCGTACTTTTACAGTGTCAAAGGAGGACAAAGGAGGAAGTAGTTAATGCTCCAAGTGTGCATATATAGTTAATAACAGCCCCGGATCTGTCAAGCTTGAGTGCCTTTGGGAGATATCCTCTGGGAGATCTGCAACTCTGAGCCAGTCATTAAGGTCCCCATTCATTCCTTTGCTTCACCATCATTCCCTAGACGTATCTTTCACCTTCCAAGGTTCATTTTTTGGTTTCCATAAATGGTCATCGGAAGCAAAGAACAAATGACAATATCCTTTTCTCCCTTGGAAAAGTAGGATTAATTATGTTAACCTACAGGGTGACTGGAAAGAGTAACTACAAAATTTAAAAATACTTTTTAAAAAATGCCACAGAAAGCTAAAATCATGTAAACATAAAAACTTAGTTTTTTAAATCCTCCTTCCCTATAATAGTTTATGCACAGGAGTGGATAGATGTGAGAATTATTTTTAAGATTTATTTTATTCCTACACATTACTTTTGGATTTTTAGAAAAAGTCCTGTGAATAGGCTTTAAGAGAATATATAAGAGACATGATCAGATATATCAAACATAATTTGGATTTGGAAATGTTTCTATGTCTATGTTAATATTTCCAAACCTCCATAGAGTAATGGAAACAAAATAGGAACAAACAAGTATTCAAAGTCCTCATCTTTCTATCAACCCAGGGGAGTTGAGAAGAGATGAGAAATTTTGTGAGAAAAATGTCATGTGACAGATTGTGCCAGAGGGGTGAAAAAGATGCTTACAAATTTTGTTTTGCATTAAAGTAATCCCATCTCCTCCCTATACTTTCTAAAAAACAAATGGCATAAAGATCTGCATTTATCTTCAATTACTTTTTGGATACAAACTGAATCTAACTATGTGCTAACACTGGATCATAAGGGGGCTGGCCTTATTCTGCTTACAGTGGGGAATGAGATGGCTTGTCTGGGATTTGGGGAGCAATACTAAGCTACAATTGAATGAAAATGAATATTCTAGACCTGAACAAAGAATGCACCTTCACCTGGGCTGCTTAACTGTCCAAACTGCACATTCAGTATCATACACTGTGCACATTACTGGAGTCCTACCGCAACATGAGAGGGAAAAAAATGACCATGACTTTGAGTTATGAATTATATTGTGAGGGAGGGAAAGCCTTTACCACTGAACATACCAAACAGAGCACTACTCTTAATTTAGTGCAATCAGAGTTCATTAATGAATCTGCAAACTTGTCTTTAGTTTTTAGCCTACCCTCCCTTGATGCCTAATTCCTTAAACTGAATCCCTCTCTGGATGGAAAAGAGAGGGATTCGGTTTAAGACCTGCTTAGACATTACAGTCATGATAGTACGCCACCAGCTGAGAATGCACCCGCTGGAAATGCGCCACCATGGCTCTGAAGTCACTTAAATGCCCATTTTCTTTAAGGCACAAGAAAGATTTGCTGAGAGCAATGTGTCAGAGAGATGCAAGATGTGGCCTTGCAAGTATTTGTGCACTGGAAGGTGTGAACACCACAGCTTCTGATGGGGACAGCATCGCTGCCAGAAAGGAATACGTGGCAGGGTGGAGAGTAGCTGGGACACACATGTTGAATTCAACCTCATGCACCAAGTATGAAAGAGATGTTTTATTATTGCCTACCTCTATGGGATCCTTGGGTGGTGCAAACGGTTAATGTGCTCAGCTGCTAATCTAAAGGTTGGAGGTTCAAGTCTACCTAGAGGCAATTTGGAAGAAAGGTCTGGTGATCTACTTCCAAAAAATCAACCACTGAAAACCCTATGGAGCACAGTTCTTCTATGACATACAGTGGGGTCACCATGAGTCTCAGTCGAATCAACAGCAACTAGTTTGGTTTGTTTATCTCTATGGGAGGCCACCCACCAGGGGGTGATGGAGTCCAACCCAGAGCATCGGAAATGCTTCACTAAAACCATGCTGGGGTGATCTACACCTGGGTCCTCACCACAGCCCTTGGGAGCCACCTGAACACTCACACCTCCAGATATGCTGGGCACAGGTATGAAGTACTGCTCAACAACTTTTTATACAAAACAGCTGATCCTAAAGTATTTAATTAAACACTCATTTTGACAAGGGAGAGACCACCAACAGACTAGTAGGAAGAAAATCATGGGCTTATTTCAGCAAATTCTTCCCAAGAATTTCAGTCATGGCCCAGAATATGAAGTAATAAGCAGTTCAGAGAGGGCCGATAAAATAGACAATCTGAAACACAGCTAATGTTTACATATTCAAACACATCTCTCCTCTGCTCAAAACACTTCAGTGGTTCCTTATTTCTCTCAGAGTAAACCCTAAGTCCTTATGAAGGCTTACAAAGGCCTACAGGAACTGTCCTTGCCTCTGCAATAGAACTCCGACCTCATCTTTCCCTACATGCTCCCTCTCCCTCCTCACTTTACTCAGCCAGTCTGGCCTCCCCGATGTCCTCAAAAGCAGTCGGGAATCTACCTTTAGGCCTTTGCTGCAGCTGTTGTATTTGCCTGGAACTTTCTCCCAGATATCCTTATGGCTCAATCCTTCTCCTTCCATTCTTTGCTTAAACATCATCTTCTCAATGAGGCCTACCCTGGCTCCCTGTTTAAAACCACAACTCCTCCTCCGGCATTTCTGGACTATCTCAGCTCCGCTCAACTTGTTTTCCAAAACCCTTATCCCCATCTAACATGATATATAACTTACTTATGTTTCTTGTATATTCTCTGTCTTCTTTCCTAGAATGTAAACTCCAAGAGGTCAAAGACTTTTTCTGTTCTGTTCACTGACATATTCCAAATGCCAAGAATGCACACAGATGCTCAGATTTGATGAATGAAAGGTGTCTTATCTTCTTCTGATTATGATCGTTAAGACATTAACTGAATAAACCAAAATCAGCTGCCATTGAGTCAATTACCACTCATGGTGACCTCATGTGTGTCAGAGAAGAGCTGTGCTCCATAGGGTTCTCAATTGCTGATTTTTCAGAAGTAGACTGCCAGGCCTCTCTTCTGAGGTGCCTCTGAATAGACTTAAACTGCCAACCTTTTGGTTATCAGTCAATTCTGACTCATAGCAGAACTCAAATTCTCTGACAATACTTCAAATGGAAAAATATTAAAGGTCTACTTATTCAAGAAATCTATTTTATTTGGCTACTATAAAAATTTATAATCTCATGATGCAAACAAAATAAGGCATTTGTAATAGTTTTATCCAATTTCATAATTAAAATATCAGCAGAAACTAGATGCTCCCTGTAAAATTTGAGGTTTAAAACTTTCCAGAGTCTTTGTCAAGTACAATTTGCTGTCAGCACATAATTTTCCCCCATCATATTTTTAAAGCTATTTTCCTCTGGCAATTATACTTTTATAATGAGAACATGAGTCCAAGCTCTTTCAAAGGGTCAAATATGGCCAGCATTTGGTAGCTTAGTAAACAGCTTAGCACAAGGCCCAAAATTAAGCCCCTCAGGAATATTTTATGACAATGACCCTAAAATGCCTCAAACTTATTCTGCGCACCAAGGCTGACATTTTAGAAAAGACTTCCTGTTGCTAAAGAACTTGCATGAGAAAATGTAAATGATTTTTTTTCTAAAGGTCCACAGTTTGGGGCAAAGTGATGACAGTCTAAAGAGAGCTGGGAGGAACAGTTTGCCCCAGAAGAAAACAGCAAGTGTAGAAGTGATATAGAAAGAAATTAAAAATTAGTTCAACAAATATTTATTGAGCACCCACTATCTGCCAGGCAATATTACAGGGAACAAGGATTCTCAAGGGAATAAGAGAGTCAAAGTCCCTGTCTTCATGGAGATTATGGTCCAGTGAGGAAGGTGGTCAATAAGCAGATACATCAACACATAATATAAGGTGATGTCAGGTAATGATATTGTGCCTTGAAGAAAGATAGCCAGGTGTAGGGTAGAAACAGATTGGTGGGAGAGTGCTATTTCAACAGATCTGAATGAAGTGAGGGAGTGAATGAAGTGAGGGAGATTTGGCAGAATGGGCATTTCAAGCAAGAAACGTACTGTTAATTTTTTGTGTCAACTTGGCAAGGCTATTGTTCTCAGTTGTTTGGCCAAACACTAGTCTAGTTGCTGTCATGGAGTGATTACAAGTGATTAAATCAGCGGTCTTGGGTTCAGCAGATTACCTTCCATAAGGTAGTATAGTGTCCTGTCGTGTTGTGTG